CTTAGCTTCTCACCAGGGCAGCTGCATATCTAGCTCCTCCAGGCAATCTGAGTGGGAGAGAAGGGGCAATGAGTAAATCTTAATGACCCACAGAGGAGGGACCGGACAAGAAATTGAACAGTGTCATCTCCTAAAGCATGTGAAAACACACATTCATAAACAACCCATGGTCACCAGGCTAAGGATGGAGGAGACATGAGAGGTCTCTAGCTGGTGTACTTTGGTGTACTTTGTTCTATGTCATGACAAGAACCCTGACCACAGCACCTGGACATAGGTCATGGTGCCCAATTGCTGAACAGTTCATTTGGGCATAGCTCTCCTTCCTCATGAGCTTTTGGTAAGAGAACAGAAGCAAGTATAATCTGTTCTGTTTTACAATAAGGTCATTCTATTCTCTTCATGGTAAAGAATGCCTGCTGGTGGCATGGCTGCTCCTGGGCCTGAGCAGAATAAAACTCTGAGGCAGAAGAGGCAGTATTCCTGAAAGGATTCAGAAAGCATACCATCTTCTGTTGCTGTAACACTTCTCAATTGGAAAATGTGAAAATAGGAAACTGAGAAGAAGCTCTGCCCTTTTGTCTTTCCCAGAGGTCTTTATATGTGTTTTCAAAGCCTACTGTCTTTGTGAACTCCAGACATGTCTGAACAACCTGGGTGGTTTGCAACATTACAGCAATATGTCTGCAGGTGTATGTGTGAACAGATAGGGAGTTTTTCTCTCTGAGCTCGCCCTTTACTATTATTTCTGATGATTTTTACAGAAGGGGACCCCATGGAGACTCACAACCAATAGAAATGATCACTTGAGATGGCTTCCCAGTCCCTTCTCAGGCAGCACAAGCAAAACCAGCTTCAAGTTCCTGATTTGCATGCTGTTCTGAGTGGCTGTTTCTTAGGCTGCTGTGCCTTCTGGCACCTAGAGGAGAGTGTACCATCAGAGTAACGACTGCTATCTTCTGGGGATGGCAGCGGCCAGGAAACAGCAGCATCCAGAGCTGTCTGGGACCTCCTGTGCTGTAGAGCCCTGTTACTGCCATGCACACAGGCTGTCTTGGTAACTTGCTATGGCACGCCCCAGCCAAGCTGGCTGATTCAGGCTGGAGACGCAGCGCTGAGCAGATATTGTTTTGTCAACTGAACTTTTGCACTCCTCCTTCAGCACTCTTCATCCAGGGCTGGGCTTTATCTCACCGCACCCCGCAGGGCCGGCACCCTTCTGTCACCTGCCAGAGTGCCTGGCATGTATACAGCATGGCTGGCTGGCAATGAGCTACGCCTGGCATTTGCCACCTCTGAAAAGGGGCCATTAGCAGGGCCATACCCGCTCCATGTCTCCCCAAAACCCAGCACATTCACGTTACCATATCCCTCAGCTGCTGAGCCCGGAGTGGGGGCTGGACATGGTACTCACTGAAATTCCTCCTACTTTTACTGCTCTCATGTTTGGAGACCTGGAATTAGGGTTTCTGTGACCAGCAAAAGGATGGCACATCGTCTGGGTTTGTAATCGGCTAGCCCATGAGGTGCTGGCTTCTCCCCTCCCTTTTTCATTCATTCGTTGCTGATAAACTCTGAATACTGATAGTTGTTCCCTGATGTTCCTCTTTTCTTTGTAAGTGACTCCTGCTAGGGTGTGTTTGTAATACAGACGGGCAGGGCAGCCTCCAGCTAACAACCTTCTGTGCTTAAGATTGAACAGTTGGCAGCAGCTCCACACTAATAATAGTACTCATTAAGAACTTTTCACAAGACTGGAAGAAAATGAGCAAACCCTGTAAAAAACACTTTTTACAGGTTGTAGGAAGAATTAAAACCTGCCTGAGATAGATAAAATTTGCAACAAATACTCAAGTGTGAGGGTCTAGTAACATAAATGACCTTCTGGAAGCCACGGATTCTGCTTCTGTCTTCTCTGTAACCAAAAAGAGAACGTTTCTGTATCTCAGTTTCCTCTCAGTAAAACAAATAACAGATTTGTTCTGTCCATTGAAAACGGAAGAGAAGGGACTGTAGGTGCAAAGGGTTGTGAGTAGTGCTGACTGACATCTACTGGTGCACCAAAACAGGCTGCTAAGTAACTAGAAGCTTGGCTGTATTTGTGGGGGGTCAGGGGATTTATGTGTTCCTTGAACACATAAATGAAAATAAATACATGAAAAGTTAGGCTTGCTCATTGTCAAGACTAGGGCATCATGTTCCTGGAGAGACACAGTGAAGAGGCAGGACCAGGAGCTTTTCTTGCTGCTGGCCACGGCTGGTTGGGGCTGCTTATTGCCAGATGCCTGAACCTCCTCTCAGACATCACTGCCGTGCCCTTCCCTGCACACATCCGTGAATCTTTGCCTCACTTGTACTTTGAAATCACGGCCAGGACACCGCTTCCTTCCCCCTTGGCTCTAAATCAGGAGCACAGCACCTGCCAGAGTGGGCTTCCCACCACATCCATTGTTAGTGCCAACATAAATAACAGTGATGGTATAAATAGATAATATTGGCTTTTCACAAGTATTAAGATGGATGTTATATGTATAATGTTCCAATGGCTTTGCTGTGTGAATGTAGTTTTTGTCTCTCCTGCTATTAGCAAAAAAATAAGGCATAAGTGGTAATAGTTGATATAGTATGTTTGAACTGCCTGCCCAGTTAGGATAACCCCCAGTGAACAGATGATGGGACCTAGCTGCTATCAACACTCACCGCCTGTGGAGAGCAGGAGCCAAAACCCAAATTAAAAGATGATAAGAAAGGAATTAAAACTGCAGGCCAAGAAATGCCCATGCTCTAAAAAGGTGGATCCAAGGAGTGGCTATGCAAAATAGTTCCTGGAAGATATAAACTAGTTAATGGGAAAGTCTGAATATGCATCAAGGTGATGCAATAGAAATGGTATATAAAGGGTGTTCCTGAAACACCAAATGTGCTCTTGGCAGAGCACCAAGCACCCGGCCATTATTCTTTACTTTATTATCTATGTCTCTTATTGTCTTTATTAAACCTTTTAAATTTTACCAGGAGAGTGAACCTTGTTTTTCACAGTTATAACTGCTGATATATCTTCAAAGCACTTTATACTTTTCCAAACATCTTCCCAAAGACTTTAACCACTTCAAGGCAGAGCTGGCACAGTGGAGTTTGGAAGGCTACCCTCTGCAGATTGAAACAAAACACAATCACACACCTTTGTTTTGAGGAACAAATACTTTACCCATCAGACATGTAATATCTAAGTAATATCAGCTCCTGATGGGAGGCCTGACAACACGTATTTGAAAAGAAAAGCTGTATGAATTTACCATTTGGTGTATTGATGTTATTTCTCAACCAGCTTGAAAACACAATTGAAAACTGCACAAAAGCAAATACCGGGAACATGTAATTTCCATGCCTGCTCTAGGACACATCATACACATGACAGCATAAACGAAGAACAGACAAGGCACAGTGGCATGAAGATGTACAAGAAATACAAGATTAATGCAGGCATGGGCACATGCCAGTAACAGAAGTTGTTTTACACTGAGAAGCACTAGCACTACTAAAGTCACAGCACAGGGGGAACTGGTCTTTCTGCCAGGAAGAGGGATAAGAGCTGACCTGGGAGACCACTATAGCCTGCACTTGTCTGATCAAAGCCAGAGCTGGTTTAGGGCTCCTCAACGTTGCAGACTGACTGCTGTCCCCCAAGTCCAGTGGAGAGGAAGCTGCCAGGCTGTTCTTGCCAGAGAAAGGGAGAGCCCTGGCAAGCTGAGCTATAGTCTCCCACATTTACCAGAGACAGGTAGAATGAGAGGCAGACATCTCTCCCAGCTGCAGTGGCCCTGTGGAGACTCCTATGCTCTCCAGTTGCAGAGGAAAACTGCCTTCCCAAGTTTCAGGCATGAACAAACACTGCACGTGAACATTACCATTTTTGTTCCTCCTGCCGCCATAAAGAGCTGACTCAGTGCCTGGGAGCTGGTTGCCGGTGCTGTTGGTCACTGTCCCATGGATCTGAGTTCAGCTCTCACACCTCTGCACTTCACCTGCCTTTCCTGATAGTTATGGGAGTCCCTGTGCAGAAAGGAGCAGGGGTGTGAAGGTTATCTTCTGGTGTGTAGTGACAGGCAGGGCTCTTAGGCAGTGCTGCCGTGGCTGCAGCATCCCTGCCTCAGTGGGAGGTTATCTGTGGGGCTGCTCTTGGGGTTTGGCACAGCTCAGAAGGGGAACAGAAAATAAACACTGGGCAATGCAGAAAGGGAGGTTCTGAGTCACCTTCTCTGTTGAACAGAGCAGCTAAACAACACTATCCCTTGTGAGAAATCTGAGGCCTTGTAAAGCCAAGCTTTACAGATATTAGGTTTTACCTTCATTTTCTTGGCAGAACCTGAGTTCAGGGTCATCGTATCCTCACAGTAGTTATTTCTAGGTTAAGGAGCTCAGCCTCAGCCAGTAACATATCTTACACTGGCTACTAGCACAGGTTCAACCACCTGAAGCAGACAACTGCTGCTTGGATCTCTCCTAAAGTACCAGACCTAGTTCCTAAAAGATCAGCATCCCAAGCATTTAATATCTGTGCAGTAATACAGACTCAGAATCTCATCCAGTAATTTGAGTCCATGGATAAGGCAGACCCTCAGAGAACTCAAAAGAACAACAATTCTTTTTCTTACTTTGCAATTATGCCTTGGTACTCATAGTCTGCTCTTGAGCCAGGATCTAAAACAAGGTCTTACAAATTAATTTGTAAGAAACTTCTTCTATGCCTTTCAACATACAGAAGACCTGATGAATTGACTACAAAGGGCTGTGTGCACTATTTAAGCCTATTATAGAGCAGATATGTTCCTCTGTTCAATTACAATTTAGCATATGAATTTTCTCTTTAATTAGAATTTGGAGGGGGAAAAAAGCCTATTTCAGGAAGTTCTCCTGACAGGCTGTTTTCTTCTGATTAAGATAACAGCTTCAATGCAGAGAGGGGGAGGAAGTAAGCAACACCATTGTTCTTTTTTCAGCCAGAAAAGCTGAAGGTAAGACATCTTGCTCAATTCTGAATCCAGTGGAACTGGGAGTCAAGCACCACGGCAATATCTCACAGGTAAGTCTTGTCCCCAACAGCAGGACCAGCTGATGATGGGAAGTGAGTTATGAGATCCTGTAGTTCCTGCCTCCACAGCTCCTGTCTGAAATCCAAGCTCCCTGTGAGCTGGACAACAAGCTGCTTCTCACAGTTCCTGCTGGGCCCTTGTAGTTGAATGACACTGCTTCAATTTATCAAGACTATCTTGTGGCTGTGGCAGCCCTGACACCTGGGCCATCTGAGGACAGGGCTCATCCTGAGGTCCTTCAGACACTGCCAAAGAGGCTTTCCCCAGAATGCAGTGACACATTCATCTTAAAAAAGGCAGCAATACAAGATGCCCCTGCACAAGGTCCCCACTAAACCTATCAGTGCACAGCACACTAAACAGTGTAGCACTAATGAGAGCTGTTAGCAGTGGTCTGGTACAGCTCACATTTCTATTGGCTTTAAGCCTACAGAGCCTATTTGAGGTTAACTAGGTTAACTATTGCAGAATATCAGTGATTAAGGTATTTGAAATATATTTACAATGGCCCTGTAATAGCAGCAATAGTCTGTACCAATTGCAAGGAAAGACAAGCCTCAGCAAACAGAAAAATGCTTAGAAAAGAAGTAATCTTGCATGTGGTCAAAAAACTGACACATCTCATTTTCACAATATTCTTCAATGTAGATGGTGTCAGCACCCATAACTGCAAATTTGTTTCCTTGACAAAAACAAGAAGCATCAAACTTCATAAATGGGGTGCTAGTTTGCAAGGGGCAAGAATCTTGAGATGCAATTTAAGAAGTGTGAAAATAAATGACAAAGATTTCTTAGTGTCAACAGCTATGTTAGAAATCATATAACCAGAAGTTTGTTCCCTAACACTCAGACCTAGGACTTTACCAGCTGCTTCTCATTTAAAAATATTTCAGACTTTCTCCCAATTACACTGGTGTCAACTCTTATTGTAGTTATCCAGAGTTAAGCACTAGTAACCTCTTTCCTAAACACCTGAATCTAAGGTACAGAGAGGGTTACCAAGGTAATCTGGAAACAAACTACAACAGAACAAAACTGGCTGTAACCAGGCAGAAACAACTAGATTTCTTCTTCCCATTTTACACTAGTGATTATATTCTGCTTTCTTTCCATGACAACCATATCTTTCTCCTGCAGACCATCGTGTGTGGGCAACAAGTTGCAATATGCCACTCTGGACACAAATGTTCAGAGTTCAGGGGTCCCTACTTTTTGGGGAAGGCTAGATACACGATGCTGTGCCAGCCTGTTCAGAGGCAGAAATCTAATACATCACCTAGTGCCAAATTTAACTCTGCCTGAGATATGGGTACAGGGGAGAAGGTGAAGTGGGACAGAAGTTCTAGCTCTGTGACATGATACATCATTACACTAGAGAAGAGCATCCCTGATTTTTCACATTAAGGGCTCCTGACAACAGTGCTGTCTGTGTCCAGCTGTCTGGATTATCCTAACAGTGAGGGAACAACTGACAGTGACTTGGTACTATGGCAGCCAGACTGGGAGCACTGGGCTGTTGAGCAGTGCTATAGAAATGCACATCAGACTGGCTAGAGGTTCTTGGGCACCTGAGACCCCAGCACACTTGACTTGGGCAAGATATGATAGACCCCATTTTGGGAAGAGTTGCCACTCAGGTTGTTTCTCTGTACATGTTCTGTCCAACTTTCTGCTTCTTCTTTCCCCAGCTGGTCTAGGCTCTGGGGGTGCAGTTCTTTCTGACTGGCTTCTTCCTCCTGTGAACAAGAAGAAAGTGTGACCTGCAATGTCAGCAAGCTACCAGGAAGTCTAGCAACACTCCAAGAGAGGCAAGGTGTGCGTGATACTAAAATATCTTCCCACATTCTCTCAGAACAAGCCTGGCTGTCTATTAAAGACCCAATATACAGCTGCAATACACTAATGAATGCACATTCAAGTTTTAGACCAAAAAGGAGAGATTAATTCCTTTTCATCCTTCACAAGCGCATTCACAGAAATACTGTGGCAAAGCAGATCTGCAAACAAATACTTGAATAAGACTTTGGGCATGTTCACATGAGTAGCAGGACCTCCCAAAACACTCTTTCAGAGGGGAAGGGATCACAAGACTATTCTGCAAAAGAGAGGCTTCTTTCTGACTCTTCTAGGTCACTTTGTGCTGCTTGGCTATTCTCATTATTGAAGCCACAAAACCATGAAGTAGTGACATGGCTCCCACATGCCTTGCTGCCTTTGACTTTAAGGTTGAAGATCCCAAATACACTGGTTCACTCAATATGGGCACTCTTTGGTAAAAGTCATAATTCTGCAGTGATATCCTACAAGCACACAGCTGACCAATCTTCCACCACATGTCTGATAAATAATCCACAGGCAAGATGTTAAGATCACAGTCCATGACAGCCATGAGCTGCTCTTTCTGGAAAGGACAGTTTGATCATTTCAGTATCTGAGGATGAACAGACATCTTTCTGTTCAAACTTTCTGAGTTAGAAAGCAGCTGAAGACAGGCAAATTTTATGCACTGCCACAGGACTGAGGTTGGCCACAAAGGAGCCAGAAAGTGTGTTTAAAGGTACTAGGGTTAACTGTGCAGACATGAAAACAAAAGGGCTTGTGTCATTTTGCTTAAACAGAAAAGGATTGATCATACAAAACGCTGATCCTGCCCAAACCTTTTTGTCTTAAATCAGCAAAGACTGGAAAAGCAAAGATGATACCAGGCCCTCTCTCCCAGCAGAGCTGGTCACCTGATCTGAAGCTGGTTCAAATCCATGGAGGGCTACCAACCTTGCTAACATCACCCAGATGTTTGCCCAACAGATCCTTCCTCTTCAGCTCTTTTCTTTCTGGCAAATTGAGCTTGTCCACCACTGCATCAATCTTGGAGCCAATGCTGTTTATGGAATGTTCCAGCTGCAGCACACGATGCAGGAGGCTGAGGGAGACATGGAGAGCATTTGTAAGCTTCTACATGTGATGAATAAAGGGAGTTTCTGCAGATATCTCCCAGAGACCTCAAATAGAAGCAAATATTCCCAGATCACTGATTCACACCTACTGATGACATAGCTCCCTACTACACTGTGTTTTCATCTGTAATCAGTGTTTCTGCTTAGGATGAATCCCAGCCCAGACACAGTATAATTCCATTATTAAATATTGCACCTGCCTCTCCTTTGATATGGCCCAGTGTTTCTCAGTAGCAGAATCAAGATATACTGATTCTATGTGATATGTTTATCTTGTGCTCCTCCTATGGAAGAAATATGTTATTCTTGGACCTGGAGGATAAAGGCCAACTAGGCTATAAATCAAGGATATTTATTGCTACAGGACCTTCTGTAAAGGTATCAACTTTCCCATGCCCAGTTATTTGGGCCACCTTCTGACCTGAAACATGGCAGTATATTGCCTGTGGGTAGATGACAACTGCAGAGGTTATTCAAGCAGCGGAAAGCAAAATTTCTTAACTCAATCTTTTATAGGAGCTAGCAAACTACTTAAGTAGAACAGTCCCAGTTATCTCCTGACCTGCTTATTTACACATGTGCAAGATAAAAGGGACAAGATCTTACTGAATCTGTTCAGCACCACTGTAAAGAGTTACATCAGGGAAGGAAGCAGCAGGAAATCGGACCCCTCATTGCAGGGTGTTTAAACTACTGACAGCATACAAACATACACTTGGAACTCTTCTTTGGAGACCCAGGTGGCCTTATTGGTGTGGTTATTCCTTGCTTCCATGTAGGTTAGATTCTCATCCATGTTGTTGTCACCATAGGATTTCCCCAAATTTTCAATTTCTGTATTCAGAGCAACCTGGAAAACAAAGAAACGCCTGCAAATATGGATATTAACTCTGTGGTGGGCTTTACTGTCAATAACACAGAGCTTCACAGGCAGCAATACACTCAGTTGTATCCATGTAGAGTTGGAACTATATTTTAGTTGCCTGCCTAGTTTATACCATAAACCCAAAGATTCCTGAGGCCACTTTGGAGTGATGTCTACCAAACAGATGATTTTTTTTTTTCCTTGCCCTTTTTTTTACCCTTTTTGCCTCTAGGTCATGCTTCATCTGCTGTTGCTCCTCTTCATCAAGGATATGGTTGCCATCTTTGTCAAATCTGGAGAAAGCTGCTGTGATCTCATGGTCTGCATGGCCCAGTCTGCAAAAGAATAGAAAGAGAAAGTTCAAAGCATAGAATTATACTTAACAGTATATACTCTAACAGAGTGGGAATTTTGAAATCAGTGTATTGTTTCCTCCTGCCAGTGACAAATCTAAACAAATGGGCAAGAGATAGTTAACAAACCTATTTAGAACAAGAAATTAAACATTTGAGGAAAGAAAATTATTTTTTTTTTAGTCTTAAATTATCCAGATCTAAGCTAACTGCTCTCCTTGCTTTGAAAAACAGAAAATTTAAATTACCCTTGTTACTAAGAGAAAGGACCAAGTAGGTATTCCTCAAACTGACTCACTCACTCCTTCAAGCTGTTCTTGAAGTCTTCAAAGTCTAGTTGTTTTGTTCCATTCTGCAGGGCTTTCTGCACATCAGAGATCTGCTCCTTCTTCAGCTTCAGCCTCGTGAGTGTCCGGTTGTAGCTCTGGTACCGAAGATACAGACCCAGAATCACGCACACAGCACAGTGAAAAGTAGAACAGAGCAGACAATGCGATACAGGTGAGTTATGTACCAAGTAGTACCAGGAGTTTTCGAGCTTTCCACAAGCAAAAAACCAAAAAGCATTGCTGTATGAACCTCATCTCTAAAGTAGAATCACACCTTCAGAATGACACTAACACGTTAACCCTCTGCTTTTCTCATCCCAGTTCTTCCTTTATCTGATTTCCCAACACATCAGCTGTTTAAGATAACATCTCAAATACTATTCCTTGCAGATTATTGGTCCCACAGCAGAATTATGACCTTCCAGGAACTTTTCTGGAATTTGCCCATGGGAAAGACAGATTTAGCCTTCTAGATTTGTGCCACTCTAACAGGCTCAGCTCAGCACAGCAGGACTTGCCATGTTATTGATCAAAGTACATTTCATGAAGGACTGAAAGAGCTTTGTCTAGAGACCATACTGGGAAGAAAATTCTCTCAGAAACACTACATCAATTAACAGGATCCCCCCAACACCTGCTTTCTCATTGTCTCATTGCCAAAGGGTCTGGGAGCTTGATTTATCCCAGAAAAGAACTGTGACTCTTGTGCACACAAGGAAGGGGGATCTGGAGTTGGCAACCACTGTTTCTCTCCAATAAATCCCACTTTGGTCAGGGACTTCCAAAAAATGCTTCATGATTTAGCTAGAAAGTAGCACAGCTTTCGCTATTCATCACCTGCTTCAAGATGTCAGAGAGCTGCAGCTCATCCTTCTGGCTCGAAAGCTCCTCCTTGACCTCTGAGTAGGTGTCATTGATGATGGCCAGAAACATGTTCTGGGAAAGAGGGAAGAAGTGAGATGGATATAGATGAGACATCTTGCCTGCTCCAGCAGCTGAAGCAGCAAGGAACAGGCACAGATGTGCAAGACTTAGTTAAATGAGGAGTTGTTTCCCTATGGGGTATCTCTCTTGGGCATATTAACAAGGGTGAAGAAAAGGCCCACTTCAGCCAAATCATGTTTTCTTAAATTTTTGCAGTTAAAGCAGTGATTGAAAGAAAATTTGTTCCCACCTCAAATACTACCTTTGGTAGCTTCTATTGCAAAATCTTAGGTTGCATATGGACTCCTGACACTGGGTGTTTAACCTGTTTTTTATGAGCATCCCTCTGCATCCATTGACCAGGAAGCCTGTCAGACTGAAGTCTTCACCTTGACAGATGTTGGCCCTTAATTATCCTAATAATCAAATCCCCAGCTGTAGTAACACACTCTTTGCTTACTGTGGTCTATTTGCACTGCAAAGCTATTGTAACTGAAACATCTTTTCTAGGCATTTGCACCTAACCCAGGGATTGTCAGGAGGGGTCTCTCAAACACTGCTTGCAATACACGGATAAGGAGGACTCTGTTGCTTACCAGAAGTACAAAGAAAACAAAGAACACATAGGTGACAAAGTAAATAGGCCCAAGGACCCTGTTGGCATTGTCAATGGAATTGTAGTCAAAATCACCAAGAATGATCCGAAACTGGGTGAAACTGGGGGAAAAAAGAGCACAGGGTCACACAAAGGCACACACAAACAGTCCTGAGGTGAACGTGAACCTTCCTGCAGCCCAGATGGGCACAGGAACAAACCAGAGCAGGGTCTAAGTCACTCCAGAGTAGTGAGTTAAATGCATCCATAGTATTTCTGGGGTGAAGCTAGCTGATCTGATTAGAGGAAGAGGAAAATAAAATGTGGTTTTCACACAAATTCAGGTTGTCGAAAGTGTGTTTTGCTATAAATAGGAGGCAAAAACAAATTTTGAATTTTCCCTGATTAAAGGCAATTGACTCAACAAAGCCATCTCTTGCAAGAGATTTTTTGAGACTCTGGAGGGATATTAAAACTGGACAGTGCTCTTCAACCTTTTGTAGTTCATAGCCCCTATAAAGAAGAAAGTTTAAGTGTATTGATCCAAAGCTTCCTTATCTCAGTTTTCTCCTGTAGACCCCTCAAAGGCAGGACCTGGATGCCCAGAGGTCTGTGGAACACAAGCTGAAAATAATTGCTGTAGCAGATACCTCCATTAACATCACAAATTACTTGAGCAGGCCCATGGACTGCAGGATTGTCTGAGACAGGATTTTAACTCATTTCCCCAACACTCTTATGCATGCTCATCCACCCACTGGTCATCCTCCATTTCAGATATATTGATCAGTATCTGTGGAACTTCTATGGAAATCAATATTCTTACCAATATCCATCATACCTCTTGTCCTTGCTGACAAACAAAAGCCAAACAGAAATCTGCCTGTTTCCCTCAGTTTTCTCACTTCATTCTTTTGTCCATGAAGATGTCACAGCCAGAAGGCTGTGAGCAACTTATTAACCATTGTGGCTTTATTAGAGTGAGCTACAACAGGTGTCTGACTGACATTGAGATCTGCAACTGGGGGGAAGTGCAGAAAGCGGTTAAAATTATTTCGATAAAATTATGGAAACATGGTACTAACTTACACACTTACATGCATTTAACAAAGGTACTGAAGTTTTCCACTTGTGTCCCAAATAGAAGGTAACCCAGCTGGGCATAGGCAAAGAAGACAATGAAGAACATAATGGCAAAGCCCAGGATGTCCTTGGCACAACGTGCCAGCGTGGAGGAGAGCTGGGTCATTGTTTTGTTAAAGCTAATGTACTTGAATATCTGCAGGATGGAAGAATGGGGACAAAATTAGACCAAACCATCAGCTAGGTCCATCTCTCTCATGCATGCACATGCTTACTAAGACAAGAGGCTCACTACAGGACCAAAGTACTGAGGAGAAAGTTGGCTAGGAATGGTGGCTTAGTCTTCAGGACATTTATTCCAGGTGTGCCACCATCCTTCTCTGGGTTCATAGACACATGACTATGTTCCCCCAGAGGAAAATATAAACAGGAAACTGCTAGAAGGACAAATTTTTGTATGTTGATGAGGAACCTTGATAGCTTTCTGCCACACCAAGATGCTTTAGCTGAAATGCAAAGTCCATGTCAACAGATGAGTGATTTCCAGCTCTGGAGTGACCATCATGAAAAACAACCCATGGTTTGCAAGAATATCTCAAGAATACCAAAATAGTACAGGACGGACAAAGTTTCATGGTACTCAGCATTTTCTAAAACCACATTTACACTGCAGTGTCTGAACTCATATCTCTGACTATCTACAAATAACTGACCTCAGAATGCAGGGTGAAAAGTTACCCAGATTTACTGCAAAACAATTGAGGAATTTACTGAAATTTACTGCAAAAAATAAGGAAAATTCTCTGTTCTATAATTATTACACATCTACTCAGAGGGATAGAAGAGACAAGCCTCAAGCTGTCCAGAAGGAGAGGCCTGACTGGAGACCTGGCACCTCACAGACCCCCTACAATACCTTGATCCAGGCAAAAAATAAGTTGACTGCATTCATATTGTTGTACTGTGTCTGCCAGAATGCCAGGAATTCAAAGTCTGCATAGGTGTTGGGGTGTTTCAGCAACTCTCCCAGCAGCCTGTTCACCTCAGTGGTGCGAAAGATGTGAAACCCAATGGCAACAATGGAGAGCTGCAAAGAGGAAGAGGAAGAGTCTGCAGTGACCACTGTTCCTATACTTTCCGTGGAAATTAAAATGTCACAGAACTCATTGGAATCCCACTTCAGAATCTGGTGGGCAATGGAAGTATGGTCTGGATGTGCTGAATGCCCTGACTTTACAGTCTCTTGGGCATCTCTAAGAATTTCCTCCTAGCAGTTCTTCCAGACACAAGAGCATGTGTCAATTTACTCTGCTGTTCAGTTTAGTATTAGAGCAAAACATGCACCCAGTTCTTGCCTTACCTAAACTAATTTCCACATTCCTTCATTTATTTTGGCTCTTATACATCTCTGCCATTGCTCCCCCCAAAAAAGTGTGCAAGGATCCTCACCAGAATGACAACCACATCCAGAATGTTCCAGATGCTGGTGAAGTACTGAAGCTTGTGGATACGGAGCTCCAAAGCCTCTTCCACCACATAGTAGAAGATGAAGACACAGAATACAATTTCACAGGCAACAATGAAGAAGTCCCACGCGCTGACATATCGTATAAGCTTCACTGTCCGGATTTGCCAGGAGGGAATGGCACCACCAGTGGCTGGAAACTCAACCACTAACCTTGAAGGGGACAAGGAAACAATTTCAAGCTAGGGGGTGGAGGCTCAGAGATAATTTTGAGAGGCATCAAACTTGAGCATGAGATATCCACCACAAGCAGAAGCGTTGTGTATGCGTTTATGCATCCACATCTCTGCTGCTTCACTGCCTGTGGTAGGAAAGGGTGAAAGGTGACAAGAAGTGTGACTGGTTATTTCAGGAAGACCAAGACTTCTCACTAATCCATACAATTTCTACTGACACCACTCAGACCCACCCCAATGGTGGACCATAATAAAATATTTGCATTTTAAGAAACAAATTGAGGCATTGAGGAAGATGAAAGAGCCTGAAGAATTTTTGTCAGGACTCAGCTTACCTCAGAACACAGAACAGATTGATATTTGCATTATACACAGAGAAATCAATAAAGACAACTCGTGTTCCCCGATCCAGCCACAGTTTCTCTTTCAAGACTTGCAGGGCTTCAGCACTCTCTTCTCTGGTCATCTTGAGGTCTATGTAGTATCCTCCCCCACTGTAACTGGTTAGTCTTCCCCAGTGAGATGAACCACCCAGCTCCTCCTCAGAATGGTACCTCCACCTGCAACAGACAAGGCACGAACAACGGCTTCACCTGCCAGGCTTGTATGCCTTGTATGGCCTTGTATGCAGGAAAAATTATAACTTCAAGAGGAAGAGCAGTTTTCAACTGAAGAATTGGCACAATTCCTACTCCTGATCTGACCCTACATAATATTGGTAACCATTATGGTTAGTTTTCTGGTTTAGTGCTTTCCAGCAGTGACACAACATGATTTGCAATACTATGGAGGGAAAATTCTGAGGTTTGTTGGCTATATCAGTCTTGTTTTCATGGAGGTTATTCTCAGGATCTGCTCTGTTGCCTTCT